GCCTAGTCTAAAGTGAAAGTCGTAAAGCAAGATACACGTCTGATCGCAGTCAGTCAATTGTTAATTCTGAACGCTGCGTTGGAACCTACCATGAGTCTCTGAACTGAAATCTTGCCAAAATTGGTGAGAACTAGCAGCTCGGCCTTTTGCGCCCAACTATTGCCCGCAGCTCTTATTAAGCCTGCCTTGGCATCATGGTCTTCTACATTGACAGACAGAGCATAGAATCTAGGTCGTTAGCTGTAATTTCTCGTTCCCTGAGGTCGGGACAACATACTTGGCGCCTTGGGCGCAAATGATGTGTAGCAATGCTCTTTCATCCTCGGACTCAAAACCCTTATCTAACTGCCGAGTAAATGACGGTCTATGTACAAAAGCAAAGCATCGAAGAGGGTGAATATTTGCAAAGTAGTGGTCAACTACGGTACGGATATTGTTTGAAGATGGAAGATCTGAGGACACAAGCCTAGGAGTACAAGTCAGTGACGACTCGGAATATCCGGATTAGACATGACGCTCACCAAGAATAAATGGACAATTCAGTGTCGTCTGAAAAATCTATGGGAGGGTCGACAGCACTGGTGGCTCGGGTGTCGGAACGATGGGATGCTGCTGCATCAGTGTCTCGCGATTGAAGGAGACTGGGCGACCTGAAGCTATCTCCAGTAACTGAAGACGCATCCAAAGAAGACTCTAATTCTTCCTCATTTGAGCCCACGGTTGGTGCCTTGCTAAGGTTGCGCGCCCAGCGAGGAGCCGAGCCTCCGTCGTACTGGCACTCCAGATTACGGGCGCAGCATCGCGAACATCTCGGCCGGTCGCCGTCGCATTTGGTCTTTGAAACACGACAGCTCGTACAAGACCGGTAAGTCCGGATTTTTCTCAGAGAAACAGGAACTGAGCCACGCCGACTGCCCGATTTTGAGCCGTCGTCATCAGCACACTCGAGTTGAAGACGTTCGCAATTGCGACAGCCGTTTGGTCGGCCATCGCATTTGACCTGTGGGTTTTATGAGTAATCTGTTTGTTGATTTGTAAAACAAAAGACATTAACTCACCTTTCTTGCACGACAAACTCGACAGCCCATATTGTTGCGGTTGATGTTGACGCTAGAAAGACTCTCACTATCGGCAAGACTGCGAGAGGTCTTTTTACCAGGGCTTGAGTGATGATCTCCCATGATTGCGATTACTGTTGGAAGTTCTGTAGGCAGGCTATCTATTCACCTGCCTTCCATGCCCTTGCTCGCAGCGAGCGACCTGGCGATGGCGTGCGAGGGTCCGTCCCTCTGCAATCGCTGACAAGGTGTAGCAGCAGGTGGGTTCGCGCCACACCAAATCTTCGGGGAGATTGATTTAGGCAACTCAATAGAGTCTAGACCACCTTCAAAGCCACCCTCTATCAAGCATTATGTGGGCTAAAAACCCTTGCAACCACTGTCAGCCATATCACGACATTACCGTTGAAATGACGATGGTTGACCATGTCCCATGCCCTGGCACGGGGACTTCGGAAGTCGGAAACTCTTGGCCAACAGTTTCCCTTGCAGAATAAAACCTGGTAATAAAAACATCCGAGACTCTAATCATCTTGGAGTTGCATTCTACTTTGCAGGTAGTGACCCCCACTCAATTCTGCTTACTGGCAGCTTCTCGTCACACTCGAGATATCATGGTAGCGCTTCGTGAGTCCAGTGGTGAGGTTCTTTTATAACATGGGTTCCAGTGACAGATCCTAGTGAGCTCGTGTCGCTGCGACCGTCCCCCACAAAGCATGAATAGTCCATGATATGATACTCCTTCGTAGGAATCTTCCTATGATCTATCATAATTCGCAGGTCAAGCTTTCTTCTCTGGAGATAACGAATTCTGGTTTGAGTTTGGCTACAAGTCCTTGCGACTTTTGGCCTGTTGTGAGTACAAAGTCGGTCTCCGCAATTTTTCAGAAGATATGAGTAAATCATGAAGCTTTGGTGGTTATAGAAGGAAGACACCTTGTAAATATCACTAGTTTTGTCACTATCTCAAGTCTTGAATCGGTGAGAAACATGGATATTGAGATGGTGGCTCTGCAGTGTCACATTATGGATAAAAGTCCATCGCTAACGTGTCAACAAAGATGAACATTGAAGGAATTACCCTTCCATTACCAGTAGAACCTCAGCCAGAAAACTGCAAGTGTTATTAAGTATAGTCTGACGTGAGGAAAAGAATTGATAACATCTCAAAGCATCTCAGTTGTGTACAGGGTAGACCGTTTACTTGAGGAATGACGGCAACTTCTGATTCACAACAACTTATTTGAAGTCTAGCTTTAATACACCATCAAATAAATGAGACAATGCGGATAATTGATTCCTCGAGGCGAACGAGTATTAATACGCAAATATTGTGTCTTCTCTTTGTTCCTAATGACTCTTATCTTTATCATTCCCCTTATGACTCAATGCTGTCCAATTGCAACCCCTCCACCCCTCCCCCACCAACATCTCTCGATAACTTCCCACCGCCAAAAATTACCCCACTATCAGCTTCAAACATTGAACAAAGCTAAGCATTTTCTCTACTTTGACGAAGACAGCTATCGAACCGAACCGATATCGATACTATACCGACTCCCATTATGTCCGACCCTGTCGCTGAGGTCACCGAGGGCACTGTCAAGCTCGTGCTTGACGAGGTGACGGGCGAGCAGGTCACGCGCAATGAGCTGAAAAAGCGAACCCAGAAGCGAGCCAAGAAGGCTGCTGCCCAGGCCTCGCGTGAAGAGAAGGCAAAGAACCAGGAGGCGAACCCCAAACCTGCTGCGCCCAAGCCCAAGGCTCAGGAGCCTACCCAGCTTGACCCTGATGCCATGTTCAAGCAGGGCTTCCTTGCCGATGTTTACAAGGAGAGACCTGTGAAGCCCGTTGTCACCCGATTCCCTCCCGAGCCAAACGGATACCTTCACTTGGGCCACGCCAAGGCTATTGCTATTGACTTTGGATTTGCTCGCTACCACGGTGGCAAGACGGTAAGCTTTCTTGCGCCAGACAGAATTCAAAAGATGCTAATCTGTAGTAGATCCTTCGGTATGATCTTGTTATCGAGCGCTAAAACCATAGCTAACGAATAAAAAGATTCGATGACACGAACCCCGACGAAGAGGAGGAGATTTACTTCGAATGGATCCTGAAGATCATCAGGTGGCTTGGTGCGAATCGCAATATCTACGACACCCGAATCAACCTTGGCTAATCTTGGTTGTCTACAGGATTTGAGCCCAGCGCCATCACACACTCCAGCGACAACTTCCAGAAACTCTTCGATCTCGCCAAGGAGCTGATCAAGAAGGAAAAGGCATACGTCTGCCACTGTAACGAGGCCGAAATCAAGCTTCAGCGTGGTGGAAAGGAAGGAAAGGAAGGACCCCGATACCGTTGCGCCCACGCCGAGCAGGATGTCGAGACAAACCTCCAGAAGTTCCAGGATATGCACGACGGCAAATACGCGCCCCAGACTGCTTTCCTCCGCATGAAGCAGGACATCACAAACGGCAACCCCCAGATGTGGGATCTTGCGGCCTACCGTATACCTAAGAACCAGAAGACTCACCACCGAGCTCCCGAGTGGAAGATTTTCCCCACCTACGATTTCACACACTGTCTTTGCGATAGTTTCGAGGGTATCACACACAGTCTGTGTACTACCGAGTTTATTCTGTCTCGTGAAAGTTATGAGTGGCTGAACAAGTCTCTCGAGGTCTACGAGCCAATGCAGCGAGAGTTTGGTGAGAAAAGGTTGTAGATGTGTGAGTACGAATTGCTGATAGCTTCTAGGCCGACTCAATGTTAGCGGAACCATCATGAGTAAGCGAGCCCTCAAGAAGCTTGTCGAGGGCGGATATGTTCGAGCTTGGGATGACCCTCGTCTGTACACACTGATCGCCATCAAGCGTCGTGGCATCCCCCCTGGCGCTCTTTTGGCTTTCATCAACGAGCTTGGTGTCACTACAGCCAAGACAATCATCCAGATTGCACGATTCGAGCAGACCGTCCGCCGTTACCTCGAGAACACTGTGCCACGACTTATGCTTGTCCTGGACCCCGTTCCCGTGACTATTGAAGATCATGAGGAAACCGAAGAACTGGAGGTTCCTTACTCCCCTAAGGACCCCAAGTTCGGTACTCACAAGGTCCGATTTACGAAGACTGTCTATATCGACCGGTCCGATTTCCGCGAGGAGGATATCAAGGGCTACTTCCGACTTGCCCCTGGCAAGACTGTCGGTCTTCTCAACGCTCCTCACCCTATTAAGGCTACTTCGTTCGAGAAGGATGAGTCAGGCAAGGTCACTAGCATCAAGGCTGTTTTCGACAAGGAGAGCAAGCCAAAGACCTACATCCAGTGGGTGCCAGAGGGCTCCATCAAGTTGGAAGTCCGTGTGCACAGCCCTCTGTTCAAGTCTGACGACCCTACCGCTGTTGAGGGTGGTTTCTTGAACGACATCAACCCCAACAGTGAAGTTGTCTACCCCGAGGCTCTTGTTGAGGAGGGCTTCAAGGAGGTACGCCAGCGCGCTCCTTGGCCTGTGACAGCTGGTGAGACCCACGAGGCTAGCGGCCCCGAGAGTGTTCGATTCCAGGCTATGCGTGTCGCCTACTTTGTAAGTATATGTTGCCCAACTATTTGGACGAAAACTAATGATCAAACAGGCCATGGACTCGGATAGCACAGATGACAAGATTGTGCTTAACCGTATTGTTTCTTTGAAGGAGGACCGTGAAAAGAACTAGTTATAAGTGTATAAATTAAGACCGAACAAAAGTAGAAGAAAAAAGAGAAAGAAGCATCAAAACTTGATTCCAATAACTATTAATTTACAACACCATAAAGAAAGTGAATCAGTTTGATGTCAAAGACAGTATGATGTTGACAACAGGCAAGAAAGATATCCAGAATCTGGCAAAGCAAGGCCGCCTGACGACACGAAAGTCGTTAAAAGCATCCAACTCTTTCTTTCATTTCCAAAAGTTCTGGTTGAATGATTCAGCAGCAGCACCACCGATATCTCCTGTCATGACCTTTCCATCTTGGCCAAAGCCATCGTTGGTAATTGCATTTGTCCGCGGTGCAGCTCGATAGTTGGACTTCACTCCAACGTTTCCAGTCATAACATAGCTAACGCCTTTGTTGCCATATATCGAGTTTTGTACTGCTTGAGCGGATGTGTTGAAGCGAGGTGCTTCAAGAGACTCGAGGTCGGCAGTGAAAACAGGGACTGTTCCGTCTGTTAATAGTTAGAGATGTTTCCGCATATCAAACATGCTATACTGACCTAATGCACGATCACGGTTCTCGATCCTTTCCCAAAGGGCCATTTTAACGCCCAAGACACGCTGTATGTTCGTGTTTGTCTCTGCAAGTTCGTTGTATGCAACTCGCATGCCATCCTGGAAGTTTCCGACTACGCCAACATGTGCAACAAGGATACGTATGATAAGATCACCCTTGGCTGTGTCAAGTCGCTTGAGGATTGCCTCTAGACTCTTCTCTTCGTGATCACCCACCCTCAAAGAGCGGATGAATTTGGAGGTGGAACTTCTCTGTTGGACGAGAGAAAGCCCATCGTAGAATTGTTTAAGTTCGCCGGCAACTTGGGTGATAGTCTGAAGTTGTTGCTCGATGGCAAGGTTCTGTAGATTTCTCTCCTCTCGCACAAGAGTCAAAGATTCTTCGATGCTGTCCAGTTGCTTTGAGACATTATCCAGTGTTGTAGGGATTCCTAATACCCTGTGGCGCGCCTTACGGGCTTCTTGAACTATTCTGAGGGCAGCATCTATAAGTGATACCACACTACCGGCTACTTCAACACCTAAAGCCTATTGATAGTATCAATAAGCAGCTACATCAAAGGGTTGATCAACGGGTCTTCTTACCATGAGTTATGGATCTTGGTAATGATTGAATCTAATGTTGACACTAAAGAGGACTAAGATGCATACCTAGGCAGGTAATGCAAAGGGGCTGAGAGATCAGGCTGGCGGCTATGACGACCCCGTGACTGCAGCCACCAGGCCCTCGTTTCAACCTAGTTAAGCCAGACCTGCATCTTGCTTCTATCACACCACCAGTAAGAAGATTAGAGGTTCCTAAGATATTGATCAAGAATGTCTGATTATCGAACAATCGCTGAAAGCAACTTCAGAGACGGCGTTCGGATACACCAGGGCGATAACTATTATAAATGTAAGTATTGGATCGTTGTTGTAAGAAGTCCTGGCTAAACATGATCAGGTTCGCATGACGACAAGAAGAGATGTTTACTTGATTTACGGATAACCGATCCAGCACATGACAAGGCGCGGATTAAACAGTCCAAAGGTGGCTTGCGCGAGGAGTCATACTGTTGGATTTTTGAAAACGAAGATTTCAAACAATGGAAGAAGTCCAAATCTGATTCGCGGTTCCTCTGGATAAAAGGAGATACTGGAAAGGGGAAGACGATGCTTCTAGCAGGTATCATCAACGGGCTGGCCACCGAACCAGGAAACTTTGGTCAAGTCGCATACTTTTTCTGCCAAGAAACAGACAGTCGAATCAACAACGCCACGGCCGTCCTCCGTGGTCTCATATATATGCTTGTCACAAACCGAGAGTCATTACTGATGCATGTATGGAAAGAGTGAGCATGCTGGCAAACAGCTCTTCGAGGACTGCAATGCTTTGGCTGTCCTCTCCCGCATTCTGCACGCTATCCTTGCAGACTCTAATTTGAAAGACGTTGTATTGATTATCGATGCTCTAGACGAATGCATCACGGATATTCACTTGTTGCTGGATTTGCTTGTCGACCTTTCCCGACGCAAAGTTAGATGGATTGTCTCTAGTAGATATTGGCCTGAGATAGATGTCCTTCATGATGCCGCTCAGAAGCTTGTCTTGCGTATCGAGCTGAATGAAGCCAGCATCTCACAAGCCGTCAAGCGCTTTATCAATTACAAAGTGCACAGTCTTGCGCAACGCAGGCGATTGGACGCCGACACAAAGTTAGCTATCCAGGAATATATGGAGTCGAACTGTGGCGAAACCTTTCTTTGGGTAGCATTGGCTTGTCAACTCATCGAAGATCCTAAGTTGCCAGTCTGGAAAATCCTCAGTAAGCACAGCGAGGCTCTAGTAGGTCTGGATAACATATATCAACGCATGTTACATCACACCGTTGATTCACAATTGTAAGGAAGACTGTAAGCAGATATTGAAGCTCACCCTCACTGCGTATCGATCCCTGACGCTCGACGAATTGTTGTCTCTCTGGCAGCCATCGAAAAACACGCCATCCAACAAAGAAACACTGCAGAATATTGTTAAAGGGGCAGGGTCATTCCTTATCTTGAAGGATGAAACCGTCTACTTCATACATCAATCAGCGAAGGATTTCCTCGCCATAAAAGCACGTGGGGAACTCGGGTTCGACAGACATGTTCAATACTATCATATTTTTGATAGATGTTTGATAGCCTTGAACCTGAGCCTTAGACGAAACATCAATTCCCTCGAGTATCCAGGATTTCCTATCGAAGAGGTGAAAGCCCCTCTATTAGACCCATTAGCTTCAATCAAATACTGTAGTATCTATTGGGCCTCTCATTTGTGTGACTCTGGTCCGAACGGCCTGAGAAGAGGTTTGGTACCCATTAGCTCGTTGGAAGTCTTCTTGAGGGAAAAGGGCCTGAATTGGATTGAGGCTATGAGCTTATTACGAGTGTTGCCTGATGCACTCCGACGTCTAGCGACAACTGTGAGCCTTTTCGGAACATGCGAAGGGAAAAATAAACCGGGACTAACTAATATATAATGAGCCCTGTGTCTGCTCATCATCTAAAAAAACGAGACGAGGCATCCAGGACTTGATAAACAACGTTTTTCGAATGATGTGCTATTTTCAGTCAGTCATTGAAGTAGCTCCTCTGCAAATTTACGCCTCGGGCCTTACATTCTGCCCTAATATCATCCTGGAAAGTATGTCAAAGAAACGGAGCGATGCCCAGGACGAAACGTACAAGTGGAACGCATTGAGTTTGTGTCTATCGCCACATTGGAGCCCACGTATTCAGACCTTTTCCCTTCAAAGCTATCTTTCGCCCGTCTATGTAGCGCCAACGCAGGATGGCTTCATAATGTGCTTTTGGGATTTTAATACTTTGACTATTTAGAGGATAAATAGTGCGGCGCCAGTTAAGTTGCGTGGACCCCCTTGCGACGTTGTATTGGGCGTGTACTTGACTGACTACACGAGGGTTCCAGGAGGAAATTTCCCATAGACGTAGGCTGCTCCATTAACTAGTCTCGCAAAATGGTTTTGGTTGGTAGCGAATCACCTTTCGACCGTCTCACTATTGAATCCCATAGTTGAGTATGGACAAGTAAACTATATATGCCACTGCAATTAAACAGTCCATTGTTTTCCGGTTTGCTAACGAGACTGCAAGCGCCACTTATCCTAATGTAGAAGAATGAATTGTTATGTCAAGTCAACATAGTAGCTGGCTTGATCATATAGCTTTCAATTTCAGACATTTCTTTCCAAGATCGATATCATCTTAGATTTATTGCCTTACAACAGAAAGAAACGGTCATGTTTAGACCACAATCAAATAGCTTGATTTTCGCGGATACCTAGGTAGTTAAGACAACTATGTGCTACATAGGTAGATGTAGATAGTTGAAGCTGATTGGTCCAGAAACTTGAGTCAGCAGAATGATACTTCAACAAGAAATGTCAAACTCAAACAGACAATAAACAGATATCTCCAGTAAGAAGGAATGAGTGATAACCACATCGATACTACAAAGAATCCGTAAGCTTCGCGAATCGTGAAAGAAAAAAATCGTCCCGTCTCCTTGGTAACATGCACAGTCGATAGTGGTTCCAAAAATACCTAGTCAGGGGTTTCTCATCTCAAGACATGAACCGTTTAATGTCCGCTAAACTCAGAGCAAGTCTAGCGCCCTCAGCGACCCGAGACCAGCGTGCTACAGGGTGGAACATCCCGCTAAAGAGGTCCCTAGAATCAGGTTACGCTGGGATCTGGACCTGATAATTGGAACTTCCGTCGCAGCCGCGAGAATCTGGAGAGGTTGGTTAAACCTCGACCCTGTCGCCTTAAACCTCGACCTCAACCTCAACGATAATCTTTTCTCCAACCTCCAACTTTCAATCTTTTTCTTCTTCTCCACCATTCGATAACCCCTATTTCCAAATATTCAAATCTAAAGACTTTTCCTACCATCATCGACCTCGTCTCACCTCGCTCACTTCCTCTGAATGACCTCATATCGCATTCCTTGACTTCATCCGATGTCGTCTTGACGGTGATGACTCCCGTCGCTGCCCATACGACGGGCTCTTCTGATGCCGCCGCTGCCCTCAGAGGCGCAACTCTCGCCTTCAACAATAACAAAAAACCAGCTCCGCCGCCGCCGCCGCAGAAAAATAATGGTGCGCTGACCGCGGCAACGTCAGCTGGTCGTCCACGAAGCCCCGTCAAGAAGCTCAGTGCGCAGAGCACGGGCGGAAGCATAATCGATGCTGAACAATACGGTCAGAATGGAGGCTCCATAGTTGCCAGGCTGAAGCAGTTGGGCGCCAGTCCCGGCCAGCTTCATCCGAGTACAGCCGCTGGAAGGACAGATCCTAAGAGCGCTAGCTTCATCGCTGCCACGCTGGCTGCCAGTCGAAGTGCTAGCCCAAGCCCCAAAGCGCGAACGCCACGAAGGAGAACAAGCATTGGAGGTTCGTCAAGCAGTGGTGATATAGTCGACGCGGGGTCTATTCCGCCTACCGGGTCACTTATCTCCATGTTTGAGCAAAGTCGTACAGGCGATCCTGTGAAACGTGACTCTCCAAAGAGAACTCCCATAAAAGCAAGGGGACCGGATAGGAATATCTCAGAAGAGAGAATCACACGCACCGAGGATAGATCCTCTCTAGACTTGAAACCGAAACCAAAGCCCAAGCCAAAACCTCGACCCTTCACACCAGAGCCTCTGACGCCGAGCAGACCAGCCTCGGAGGTACTGTCACCTAAGCCATCACGTCCCCCAAAGCCAATCATACGGCCAAAAACACCTCCTCGGATTATTACTCGCCATGCGACCCAAATTCTATCACCACCATCACCAGATCCCCAAAAACGCAGCCCCAGGCCTAGGGTAGAACTAAGGCAACGGCCACCAACACCACCGCAACCTAGGGGAACGAGCAAACCAAAGGTCGAGTCCAAGAGTGTTTTACAAGATAAGCCACTTACCATCACACAAAAACGTTCCGCTCCTCAATTAGAGGCTCGATTATCTCGACCAAGGCCCACTCCACCTACTCCTACAGAGGCACGCCCGACATCAGCTCTTACAGTGTCTTCAGACGATACTTTCGTCTCTGCATCCTCGGCACAGTCACCTGTACGGCCGCCCACGAGGGAATCTCCTCCGGTCTATCACATGAGGCGGCATTTTACGGGTAGTAACCCGCCATCGCCAACTCGGGATTTCAGACGCGGCCACTTCAAAAGCTCATCAGTCACAAGTCTTCCGCTAGAATCCCTCACCAGTGCCATTGTTGCTGGTTCACTCGCATCAGCTCGCCTAACGCCGCATAATACAGGAGGTAGTCTGGCTCCTCCATTGCCACGTCGGCAAAAGTCACCTCGAATGATGCAAACACTACGGCAGCCACCCAAGCCCCTTGAAGAGGAAACAGACCGTTACAAAAAGAAAGGTCTGAAACTTCACAAGGGAAAGCATGCACACCATGAAGGCGCTCGAAAGAAGTGGCGAGAAGAGGTGACACCTCGTGAACGGAAACGGTACGAGGCAGTATGGGCCTCAAATCGCGGACTTTTACTCGATCTACCTAATGCTCCCAGCGAAGCCATGAACGGAGGTTCTTCAGAGTGTGTTCTCAACACAGTTGTTCGTGAGATCTGGAAGCGCTCGCGTCTACCGGTTGATGAACTAGCTGAGGTTTGGGATCTGGTTGACCGCCAAGGGGAAGGTGTGTTGGGACGTCAAGAGTTTGTCGTTGGTATGTGGTTGATTGACCAACGGCTTCGTGGACGTAAGATCCCGACCAAAGTAAGTGACAGCGTTTGGGGGAGCGCCAATGGCGATATGACAGTACATAGCAAGAGATATGGGCATAAGCATAAGCACAAGCATTAGGGAGGTCGAATTGAGTTTGTCGTTTTACATAGAGTGATACCCTAGCCAAATTAGATAATATTTTCACATTATGACAAGGATCATGTTGCAATGGGTTATGTATGATTCAGTTAGTTCTAAAGTCAACAGATTCACAGGTACAAAAACAAAGAATAGTATTTGTTTGAGACAAATGTCGTCAATGGTCAATTGTTCAAAGGTCAAGTCTATGTCGTAACTGGCTAAGTAGATATGTACTAGAAACATGCAAAAGGTGGCGGTAATTGCAAGGAACCGTCTAAAGATTCAGGCCCCATTCCCAACACCACGTCCAAGGTTTAATGACATGAGGGTCGTGAGTTGTGCAATCAAAGTCTAAAAGGAGCTAGAAATTTAGCTGCTCTCGCCGTACTCGGTGCTGGTCTTGTCACCAATGGTAACGGTGACGTTGTACTCGCTGAGAGTAGGGCTTCCAGAAGCACCGTAGACGCTGAGGAGAGCAGCGGAGACGACACCCTCGCCCTTCTGAGCGGACTCGGGGACAGTGAGCTTGACCTTAAGGTCTTCAATCTGGTTGGACTCGTCTGTTTCATCTGTTAGCGAACTGAAAGGTTTGTCATGAAATGCAAGGTGAACTTACCCTTGCCGAGAGGGACAGAGTCGAGGACCTGGCCGATGGTGCCGGGGTAAGGATCGGGAGAGTAGCCGAAGACAATGGAAGAGTCAAAGACGCTCTGGATGTAGTTCTCACGAACGACGATGGCCTCGAAGGCCTCGCCGGCCTTGATCTCCTTGGGGACCTTGATACCGGTGATGCGGGCCTCAGCGAGAGCGAGGAGAGCAGTGGAAGCGGCGGCAACGGAGAAACGCATGTTGATGGTTGTTTAAGTTGAGTTGTTGATGTGAGAGAAGTAAGTGTTTGTTGAGTTGTAGTAGTCGTTTGTACTGTAGAGTTGAAGAATGATGAGAATAATTTAGTTAAAGACGAGGTGAGGATATCCCCTTTATATATATTTCAAGTCACCTTCAATATCGGG